GGAGCCGAGGGCTCTGGCGACCAAGGCGGAGATCCGGAGATCCGCAGCGGAGCTGGAGGCTGGGCACTGGGTCTGGAGTGGATCTGGCGAGATCATCCACGGGGCAGGTGGTGGATGGTGACCCGTTTCTCGCCAGAGTCCACTCCACGAAGGCAACGAAATCCTCTCAAGGACCATCTTTGGATGACAGCGCTCTGCTTGCGGTGTTCAAGCTCGCGTCATAGAATGGTCCGGGTAGCTGGTGGTGCTTGCTAGCAGCTGAAATAGTCTCGTATGGTCCTCGAGAGATCTCTCCCCCTGCTCCAGCAGGAGGAGGAGGAATTCTGGTCGGGTGAAGGGATCCATAACAGGAAACACAACAGAAACAAAAACACTGAAAGAAAAATGAGTAACTGTTGGTCAGGTCTTCTGTCACGTTACGCTGTTGAGGGAGCACGCAGGAGGCACGAGTTAACGAGAACGGTCTTTAATCAAGGAAACATAGAAGATAATCCACAATAGGAGCTGGAAAAACACACGTAGAAACAAGTAGACCTGACAAACACAAACTGAACAGACTAGGACTTAAACACAGGGCAATCAGGAGAACACAGTTGTAATCAATGGAACATAATCAAACTAAACGAAGACAGGAACATGACCAAATAAGGAAACACAGGAAGGACTATGGGGGGCAAAACAGGTCCAAAAGTCTGACACCATGCTAGTAGAACAGTGTTTTACTAAATAACCAAGGCACTTTAACAAAAACCCTTGGAAAACACAGCGATCAAAATTAGAGAACAGCAATGACTGTAGCACGAAGAAAGGTAATTAAAATTTCTGAAGGAACAGCAGTCAAAAATTACTAGTAAGTGTACAGGCCCATGCTTTGAATGATTTCAGCACATCTGCGGCCACAGGACATCACTAGTCTCTCACACTGCTCTGGTGTGATCTTCCAGTCTCTTCCACAGTTTGGTGACTGTAGTGGGTTTCTTAGCCATAACTTTTTCACCAAGGATTTTCCAGAAATTTTCATTCGGGTTTAGATCAGGACTCAGAGCTGGCCGTTTCATTATTTTAATGTTTTCAGCTTTACCCGTCACTGCAGAGTGCACTTTCAGTGCAAATTCTCTTAAACATTGAGACACTATATGCCAAGACAAATCCTTACCCTGTTCAGCACTGAACTGGCGAGCAATTCCACTGGGGGACTTGATTGAGTGACATTGTAAAGATGCCAATTTTCTAGAAATCACAGATTTGGCACGGCCAACTTCTTTTGCTGTATCTGCTATTGGCCTACATCTAACCTGCTGTCAGAGGGTTTCAGTCACTTTAGAATGGCTCACCATCTTTTAAAGTCAGTGAAAACTGAAAACTTAGGCTGTCAGTTAAATAGGGTTTGTCATATAATTAAGGAAATTAGCATCAGGTACCATATTAACAGCAATAACTGGGATGTATCTGAAAGTGTTCTCTAATTTTGATAAGTGTTCTTTTTCAAATATCTCATTTAAGTTTTTTATACTGTGCTTTAGAATGTATTTAACTCATGAAATATGCTTAAAAATGGCGCTTTTGCTCCTGTTAGGATAACTTCAAATATGACTAAGTAGTGACCTCGAAATTGTAGGTTGTTCTCTAATTTTGATCTCCACATACTCCATAAATGACCAGCTTTCTTACTGTTATTTTATAACTTAATAAACCCTAGCCTAAGTGGATTTGCACACAAATAGCTTCAACATAACTGTAAATTTGAACAACGCCAGGTTTGTTTTATGAAGAATTGTTAAGATGCAATCATCACGTACAGCAGGTAAAGAGACCAGTAGAGGGTGGTGTGTGTTAATGGGGATGTTGTAAAAGGGCCAATTCATTTTTGTGTGATACCTCCTACTGAAGTCAAAGCATATGACTAAAAGAGGAAACAGATGAGCAAACACAACATTCATTTGATCTATAGCCAAAGGAGGCATTTATTAAGGCTGGCTGCTGGTGAAGACTATAACCTACTTGTAAGTACGGAAATAAAAAGCGCAATACTAATGATATTAATATTGTTGACTTTTTATTTTTTTTAAAGGAAAAATGCTTTCTTAGTGACTTTTAAAATGTTGCTTATTTAACAGTGATTTTACCATTTACTTTGGCAAACTGAATGTTGTTTGACTTAAAGTTCTTAATGCTAATACACGTTATAAATATATATACACACATTTAATCAAAAATGTCTGGTAATTTCTCGTTATTTATGTTGTTTTAAATAATGATAATAAAGCAGTATTATCATATAAATAGACCTTTTAAGTTCAAAGGCATATAGTCAAATTGCTAGTCAAGTTGTTTGAAAAAAAAAATTTCAACAATCACTGTGTCACTTTCTGCCGTTCTGGAGAAAATAATTTTGCTAAAACCGGGTCAAAAGTTGAACACACTTTACTGAATACATAGTGTGCAGAACTGTAGGCAAATGGTAGCTACTAAAGAATCTAAAACTACAATTTTGATTTGTTAAACATTTTTGTAAAATGCCCACACTTCAGTTTGTGAATGTATAGCTCCAATGACTCTACTGTTACATAATAATAACACAGAATACAGTCATTTCCAAACTTTTTTTTATACATTATCATAAATAAGCTAGATATAATATCTGATACTTATTCTGACTCTTACCATTCTCCAAACAGAAGCTCAGTCTCATAGTATAGACCTGCGCTTTGTCGAATCACTCCATGGAGGGGATTTACCTCAGCTCTCACTTGGAGAACATCCTGCTCTCAACCTTCTACATTGTCATCTTCATCCTCTCAGTCCCGAGTAATGCCCTGGCACTTTGGGTGTTCTGCCACCGCAACACCAACAACACCCCTTCCAAAGAGTTTCTGAAGCACCTGGCTATAGCGGACATGTCTTACGTCTTGGTGCTCCCCATGCGAGTGATCTACCACATGTCAGACAGTCACTGGCCTCTTGGTGAAGGCGCCTGTCGCGTGGTTGGTTTCCTGTTCTTCGTCAACCTTTACTGCAGCATGTATTTCATGACTTGTATCAGTGTAGACCGTCTGTTGGCTTGTGTTGTACCACACAAAACTCACAATCTGAGAAAGACCAGGAATGCCAAAGTGGTCTCTGCAGTGCTGTGGGTCATGGTGACTATTTCCATGTTGCCTGTCCTATTCTCTAAAAAAGAAGTGACTAGACAAATGCAGAATGTGACAGTGTGTGAAAAGCTGTATATAGAGAAGTCCTCCAATCCCACCGGTGCGTTGGTGTCCACTGCTATTGCATTTGTGATACCTCTGGTCACCCTGAGCATTTCTTACATTCTCATATTTGCCAAAGTAAAACAGATGACTTTTCAAGAACGGACGCCTGCTCAGCGTAAGGCAATGAGAATGATCGTTCTAACCGTGGTTAACTTCTTGATTGCATTTGTGCCCTATCATATCCACCGATTTGTATTTATCCTACAGCATGACGACATGTCAAGGTCAGAATCCGAAAGACAAATGTTGCATTTAGGAAATCGCATCACCTCAGCTTTAACATGCGTAAGTGGCGTGTTGGATCCTGTCATGTACTTCTTTCTGGCTAGAAATTACCAAGAGACCCTGCTGCAGCTTTGTGGCAGAAACCCCAAAGATGAACAATCCACCACATGATCAGACAAGACATGAAACGACATCTTCTCAGCGGTTAACTACCAGATATACTGAAACTTAAAACAAGGTTTAGTGTGAAAGTAGAAGTGGAAAAGGTATGGCTGAATTCATACCGATTCATTCAGAAACTTGTTGAACCATGATGTGCAGTTTGATTCTTTCTACAGCATATATGAATAAGTAGGGTTTGTGTTTAGTTTACTTTTTTATTCCGTCAACAATTATCATTTATCAAATAATTGATCATATATCATTTTTTGTAAATACTTTCAGTTGTTCAAAATATGAACAAATAAAATATTCTTTCAAAATCTCATATCTTTCAAGGTCTCCACAAGCACATTTTACACACCAGCGCTCTTAAAATTAAAAGTTATTTATCGTCATTGATGGTTCCATGAACAACCTTTAACAACCATACTATTTCACAAAAAGTTTTTTTTTTTTTGAAAAATAAATAACTAAATGTTTCTCATAGTAAGAAAAATAGGTTATTTTAAGATCTGATCACCCTTTGGAATCTTTATTATTAAAAGTGAAATTTTCTGTAAATTTCACATTTTTATTTTAAAATGCCACTTCAGATAGCTTCTGTGCTACTTCTGCAGTGTGCAAACATGGATTGTGTTGATATGTATGTTCAGTGCATACATTTAGAAAAATCAATTTAGAAAATTTAAGGAAAATTAACTGTCCAAATTGACTGCATGGACAACATCATTTTTGAGTATCTGTAAGTAAATAGTAGCTAACAAAGTTAGCTGTTCTGATAAGGTAGACTTTAAAAAAACATCAATTAAGGTTAATGTTAATCACAGACCGTATTAACTTATAAACTGCTATTTAAATAGGAAATTACACAAGCATCCTATGGCCTACTTACGAAAACGCATTTTTTGGTCACACTGTTCTGATTAGGTATTTAGACTTAGAAACATCAAGTAAGGTTAATGTTGATCACAGACCTTATACCGTATAAACTTCTATTATAAAAGGAAATTACATAGGCAGACCATGGTCTACTACAAACTAATTAATCATGGAAACCGAGGCTTACGTACGAAATGAAAAGATTCACTTTTTGGTCACAGTTCGGTTCTGTCTTAGTAAGTTCATCGTCCTGGATCTCCTCAATCCTCTCGGTTGGGTGGAGTGTTTTCTTCTTCACTCTGTCCCACACATCGTCTCCAGGATGACCGCAGGGTTCAAGACCACAGTTTAAGGTGAGGTTTAATCATTAGATATGCAGATATCCATGTGTTTGATTTGATGACACTGTAAAAGTTGTGAACAACATGCTAACCCAACAATACATGTCAAATTAAACCAAATACCAATTCTTAGGATCTTCAGATCATACTTCATCTCAACTTCTCATAAATGTTTTCTTCTTCTTATTATTATTTCCATTGTGGAACTGACACTGCAAGTGCAAACACGATATAATGTATTATGTTGTACATAAACACGCATTCAAAATATAAACACATTTGATTAACACATTTTTAAAAAGGAAGGTGACAAAATCCCCCATAACTGAGTAAACAAAGATACAGAAATACGGTCATTCCGTGCAAATCAACCACATTTGAGAAACTGCTTGGCTTTAATTTAGTTAATATTTTTTTCTGAAGAAAGACAAACATGCATTGATGAAAGCTAAAATATTAAATGGCATCCATGAGTATTTACGTCTATTTGGACACTTTCTCCTAGTAATCCATTGTATTGTAAACCTTAGATTGTGAACCAAATTACAGAAGGAGGAAACTAACTTTAGCAACTCCGCAATCATAATTTGTGACCCTGGATCACAAAACCAGCCAGGTTTTGACATCACCTGAAAGCTGAATAAATAAGCGTTCCATTGATGTATGGTTTGTTAGGATAGGATGACACCCAAATCTATTTACCTTTAAAACACAATGACAAGAATGGTTTCGAAACATTGCTTGCATGCTTAGCTGATGTAAGATCTTGGATGTCTAACAACTTTTGGCATTTAAATGAGGGTAAGACGGAAGCAATTGTCTTTGGACCCTCTGTGGGTAAAGGAAAACCAAATTTTAACTGTGATCACTCCAACATATTAACTCCGTAGTTAAGTCATGTTTTTTCCATCTTAAACTTCTGTCAAAAGTTAAATCTTTTTTATCTTTTAAAGATCTTGAAAGAGTCATACATGCTTTTGTTTTAGCATGTTTGGACTATCGTAACTCCTTTTATATTGGACTACCCCAATCCTCCATGTCACAGCTTCAAATGGTCCAAAATGCCACAGCCAGATTTTTAACTGGGGTTCGTAAATGAGAACACATTACTCCGATTTAAATGTCTCTTAATTGGTTGCCAGTGCGTTGCTGTTTGTTTTTAAGTCTTTAAATGGTCTGGCACCTTCTTATTTGTTAGATCTTGTAAATGTGAGTAGGTCTGCCAGATGCTTGCGATTCTCATCAAATCAAAGATCAAGATTGAAGTTGAAAGGTGACCGTGTGTTTGCAGTGGCCGGTCCTAGGCTATGGAACAGTTTTTCCCTATCTGTGAGATCTGCATCTTCTGTATATGATTTTAAATCTAAGTTACAGTCTCATCTTTTTACTCTTGCATTTAATCCATTATAATTCTTGGTCTCATTTTAACTTCTATTTAGTGTATTATTTTTTTTAATTATTATTCCTTTTTATTTTACCTTCCTCTTTTGTACAGCACAGTGGTCAACTCTTGTTGTGTTTATTTGTGCTTTATAAGTAAATAAATGACATGAATATTTGGCCGAGAATGATACAACTATTTGAAAATCTGGAATCTGAGGGTGCAAAAAAAATCGAAATATTGAGAAAATCGCATTTAGATTTGTCCAAATTAAGTCCTTAGCAATGCATATTAAGTCAAGTCACCTTTATTTATATAGCGCTTTTAACAATACAGATTGTGACAAAGCAACTGAACAGCATTAATTAGGAAATAGTGTCAATAATGCAAAATGACAATAGTAAACACTCATTTTTCAGTTAAAGACAGTTCATCATTGAATTCAGTGATGTCAACATCCAGCTCAGTTCAGTTTAAATAATATCTTTGCAATCATGTCAACGATAACGCTGGAAATGAAGTGTCCCCAACTAAGCAAGCCAGAGGCGACAGCGGCAAGGAACCAAAACTCCATCGGTGACAGAATGGAGAAAAAACCTTGGGAGAAACCAGGCTCAGGCGGGGGGCCAGTTCTATATTACTAATCAAAAATTGCGTTTTTGGTTGGTCTATTTGTAAAATCATTTGACGAAAGCAATCCTTCTTACATTAAATGCCGATGTCGACAGTTTGTTTGTTTATTTGTTTACCCAAAGTTTGCAATCTTGTAACTCAAGAAGGAATAAAGATATCATAATATCCTTTTAGTTTTGGGTTCTTAACAAACTTTTTTTTTTATCTTAAGGGCATTTAAATATATATACCATGGCTGTAATTCATCAAATAAATGATGGACATCTTTTACCAAATATCACAACTAGAAACTGTACAAATTCATATTGTTTTAATTATGAACAATCGAATTTAAAACTTAACTAAAACCAAATCAGCATCTTGGTTTGATATTTTGTTTTATAACGGCATTTTTAAGTGTGGCTTAGCTGTGCCACTGTACACAGAATATATTTCCAATACATTAACTTTACTGACAGAATTATGCAATGTTTTAATGGATTTTTGCAATGATGACATAGACGTTTTAAAGACGAATGCATACTAGTACACTAACCTCAGGGCCATACATATCTAGTTCTCAAATACAGCAAAACTAAACGTTTTAGTCCTGTGTAGGACTACTGTTCTACTCTTTTGATCTACAATGTCAAATTATACATACAATCCATGATTAAATGTATCAGTACTGATGCACACTGCTTGTGTTTCCTGTTTCCAACAGAACCATCAATGTTCAATCTGGAAGAGTGTGAGTGATCTAGCTGACAGGTGTCTTTGTGGCACCTCTCATCAGTTGTTATGGGTACGGCATCCTCCCTGGTGAGCCCAGGTGAGGTGATTGAGGATGCGTACGGGGGTGAGGTAGGGGAGGCATGTGAGATACCGGTGGAGGTGAAGTCAAAGGCACGTCTGCTGCAGAGCTCCTTACTCCGTGGGACTCGTGTCATCGGCGCCAGCTTCAAATCTACCGGATCAGTTGAACTGGAGTACACGGCTGAGAATGAGCGCCTCAGGAAAGACTATGAGATCTTCAGGGTCGGCAAGAACAATGAGATCGCCTCCATGCAGAAGAAAGAAGCCAAGCTGGATGAGGAGAACAAGAGACTGTGTGCTGAGCTGCAGGTTTGAGAGAGAATAAAAGATCTGGGCTTTTCATGTGGGTCAGTGATGAATAAGAGTGTTGGGCAGAAATAAAGAAAAATGAGAAAATAAGGAAAACAATGACAAATGATTAAAAAAAATAATAATAATCTAGCCTATCTTAAAACACATGTGCCAAGTTTTTAGAAATGTACTGTTTATATTAATCTCGGTTCTATGTGGTTTTGCAAAGCTTTTATGCTATTTTCAAGAAAAATGATGTGTGATGGCTGAAAATGTCATTTATTACATTATGAATGCATGTGAGTGTACTCATCTTAATCCGTTTTTTCAATATAGTTTTTAAGGTAAAATTTATATATAAAAATATTTATTTCTTTATTTCAAAAATAAATTTTTTGGGAAGTCATATCACATGAGGTCGGCAAGAACAATGAGATCGCCTCCATGCAGAAGAAAGAAGCCAAGCTGGATGAGGAGAACAAGAGACTATGTGCTGAGCTGCAGGTTTGAGAGAGAATAAAAGATCTGGGCTTTTCATGTGGGTCAGTGATGAATAAGAGTGTTGGGCAGAAATAAAGAAAAATGAGAAAATAAGGAAAACAATGACAAATGATTAAAAAAAATAATAATAATCTAGCCTAGCTTAAAACACATGTGCCAAGTTTTTAGAAATGTACTGTTTATATTAATCTCGGTTCTATGTGGTTTTGCAAAGCTTTTATGCTATTTTCAAGAAAAATGATGTGTGATGGCTGAAAATGTCATTTATTACATTATGAATGCATGTGAGTGTACTCATCTTAATCCGTTTTTTCAATATAGTTTTTAAGGTAAAATTTATATATAAAAATATTTATTTCTTTATTTCAAAAATAAATTTTTTGGGAAGTCATATCACATGATATTTTTCAGTGATTTTTACTGATATTATTTAGTTATCAAAAACATGTATTATCATAGAAGATGTGTGTACAAATCATTGTATGTAGTGTATGAACTGCATTTTAATTCATTTTTGAATGTTACTTTTCTCAACATTTCTATCAATCTACTTAAGTTTAGCTGATTCTGTGTTTCTCTGGTTGTCAGGCTCTTCAAAAGACTTACCAGAAGTTTCTTCGAGAGAGGGAAAGTGCCCTGGAGGCAAAGTATCAAGCAATGGAGGGAGCTGCCACCTTTGAACATGACAGAGACCAGGTCAAACGGCAGTTTAAGGTGTGAATCTTATTCCCTTCTGTCTCTCACATTAAATGACTCACATTCTTACCTTTCACAATCCTAAATCTTCACAAACTCCTGTCTGACACCTTCTGTTTTTAGATTATGCCTCTTTAGCCTGTAGCTGTTCTAGTTTTCAGTGCGTTCTTTACCTCACCAGTGTGTTTCCTTCATCTTTATTTCTGTCCTAAATCACCCGGCAGATATTCCGGGAGACTAAAGAAAAGGAAATTCAGGATTTGCTGCGGGCAAAACGAGATCTGGAGTCAAAACTTCAACAGCTGCAGGCTCAAGGCATTCAGATTTATGATCCAGCAGACTCGGATTCAGACGACAACCGCACCACTGTCACCAGTAAGAATGTGGCAGATAAATTTCACAAGGGAAACTAGATTAGAAACTAGCATCCACATGTCAAGATGCATCATCTAGATTTGTCACACTGACTCACCTTTCTTTGGAAGAGGAAGTAGCTTTTTGGTTCTCTCGCTATTAATCTATTTTTTAGTCAGGTTTGGTTTGGTGCATTTCACTTTAAAAGTGAGTGTGCTGTGCCGATAAATTGTATTGACCAGGCCATCTGTCTATCTGTCTGTCTGTCTGTCTGTCTTTTATCTCTTTCTGTATGAATTATGTTATCTATCTATTTACATTACATTTAGTCATTTAGCAGACGCTTTTATCCAAAGCGACTTACAAATGAGGACAATGGAAGCAATCAAAATCAACAAAAGAGCAATGATATGCAAGTGCTATAACAAGTCTCAGTTAGCTTAACGCAGTACATGTAGCAAGTTTTTCTTTTTTAATTCTATAATAACTAAAAAGAAAACGGATAGAATAGAAAAAGAGTAGAGCATGCTACTGTTAGAGGCCTTTTTTTGCTCTAATGGTTAGAGTTAAACCATTGGAGTGCTGTTCCTGAGATGCCCTTCACCAAAAGGGTTGACAGGAGGATCTGGTGGTTAACCGTGTCAAAAGCAGTGGACCGATCCAGCAAGATAAGTATTGAAGATTTGGCATCCGCTCTTGCCAGTCTCGGTTGAATGTTCACTTCTGAAACCAGACTGGTTGCTGTCAAGGAGGATGTTCTGTGTGAGAAAGGCAGAGACTTGGTTGAACACAGCTCGTTCAAGTGTTTTTGCAATGAAAGGAAGAAGGGAAACCAGTCTGTAGTTCTCTAAAGAGATGGGTTAAGGGTTTCTTAAGTAGTGGGGTTATACGAGCCTATCTAAATGCTGAGGGAAAAACACCAGTGGAAAGGGATGTGTTAATGATGTGAGTGAGTGCAGGTACAACTGCAGGAGAAATGGCTTGATGGTTACGTCAAAAGATGACATGTGGAGGGGTATGTGTTGCGTCAGGAACCATGTTGAGGTTAAGAGTGAGGAGGAAGTGATCCGTGGTGTGCAGTGGAGTAACCAGCACATGATAAGTGGAGCAGTGTCGTGTGTAAATAAGGTCCA